ACGGTCATCTTCTGTTTAGAATTCTGTTTTATGCATCTGTACTTAACGTAGCAGCCGATCTGTGGCCTAAGAAGAATCAACACGGATTATTCGGATATCCCAAGGTAATAATTGTTTCTGTTTATTGCCATAGTAATGATCGGTTCTAGCCCTCTTTGTACTGCACCGATAAATCTCCCGAATCTGTTACCCTTTCCGACTTCGTACAAGCCTGCCTCAATAGGATCGTCAAGCCCAAAGGTAACCATTCTTTTCTCATAACCAAGGTTTCTATCGTTCGTTATGTAGATCTCTACCCATCAAGTGGACGTGTTTTCAAAAATGATTGTGATCCGGAAAAGCTTGCTTTACAGCTGGTTTACTGTGATAGGGGTTTCATGGTTTGTGAGAAATGATTAGGAATTAAGTGAGAATGGGTTTGCAGGATCAAAGTATTTCCAACAGAATCCAAGAGCTCGAGGAGAAAGTGGTTGACAGTGTCACTGATGCCGTAGAAGCTGAAATTACTAACTCCCTGTAAGAAATACCTCCGTGGTTACAATTCAATTCACGTTCAGATTAAGAGATGACAGAGAAGATCAGTCCACTAGCTTGTTCGGATCTTTCAACAGTTCCTTCTTCTCTCAAGGTCTGATGGAAGGAAGGTTCTCTATTGGAAGACGATCAAGCATAACCCGAGAGTCTCTTTCCAAAAGGTGAGGTGTTATTACGGTTTTCGTACTGATACTTTTCTGTTTTCAGAACTCCCAGTCCTTTGGTTTTAAGCAAAATTGAAGAATAACTTGTTTTAACTCGCTCATATTTAATTTGGTTTAACATATCAATTCATATGTTGGTCTCGTACCCGATGCTCATTAATAACCACTTGATACTCGTTTTTATCTCAATAAAACTTTCATCCGTAGCTATTTCTTCAACCAAGATGTTTCACAGCATTCTCATATCGATTATGATTTTCAGCCGCTTCTTTCATATTTGTATCCAGGGAACTGGCATGAGGTTGATACAAAGTTTCTGATCAACTGGAATGGCTGAGCGCGACAAGCAGGTCTCTTATGCTCGTGTAACCAAAGGGGAAACTCCTCATGTCGTAGCAATGCAAAATGTAGGATTATAATTGTTTCTTCTTTCTGAGCACCGTCTTCAGGCTGTCATGCCAAATCCGGATGTTGCTGGTCCCAGTACAAGATCCTGGGCTTCCCTTTTCGTTAATAGAGGTAGGGAAATTGAATCAGAGCTTAATACATCTAAGCTATTGGCTACAGATCAAATGAGCCTATCAGCTTCTAAAGAAGTATTATATAATCA